AGGCATTGAGATACCCTTGTCAATAAAAAGAATGTTCGACAAACCAAAAAGATCAGTATCGACTTCCTAAAATAAATGTATCGTATCATATGGAGACGAGCATCCTAAAGGTGGAGTAGAGATGTCCTATGTGCACATACGATTGAGCACATCACAAGCACTCAGATTGTCGCTTTCATGAGGTGCGAGACATTGTGTATAAAGCAAAAGCCAGTCTTTGTCTTCCATTTAAAAATGTTGACAAAATGACGTTTGAGCCCCATTTTTTGGGAAATTAGATTTTATAATAGTGATTTTTTAGATTATGTGTGGTTGAGAAGATGGATTTTTTTTTTTTTTTNCTGCGAGGGTGTTTGAAACCCATTTTTTGGAGAATGAAAATTTTGGAATAGTGATTGATGGGAGATTATGTGGTGGAAAAGTTATGAAAAGTTTTAGATTTGTGTGTAATATTATTTTATTGAAAGAATATGTGATTGAAAATGAATTTAAGGAAAATGAGTTTTTTGAACAGTTTATCAAACATGAGCTCAAGATACTAGAAATATAATAGCTACTAATAAGCCTACCTATGTATCGATGCTCGTCGTACCAATCGATAATCCTAAAGCCACCAAAGGACCTCCTGACACCGCTTCTATGCCGGTGTAAGACCCTCAAATACAACCTCAAGCAGTATATAAATCTGGGATGAAGAACATTATGGAACACTAGTAGGGAGATTACATTATATTACTATTTTTATACCATTCCAAATGTGATAGTGTTTACGATCATCTATTTACTCTAGTCTCACTTCTTAACAAGTTTAGAAGACCACGTCTTTCATGTCCATGCAACACACGAATCTATATGCAAAGGTAACATCGTTTTCTAATTACTCTCATATTTTATAGATATTTAGTAACAATATGACGTTTCATGTATATAGCACCAACAATCCATATCACATAATCATATTGAAACATGTAATAATACACACACACACACACTAATGTCTTACATTGTAGTTGAACTGTTAATTACCTCCCTCATTTTCTATCCATGCACTCACGACTTCGTTCTTCTACATTTTGCAAAAATAATTCACTTGAAGTCCAAAAAATCAAGAAACATCATGTATACCATATTTAAGCTCAAATACCATGTAAAGAGTCCATTGGGCTAAAGATACCAAGTATGGGATTTTGAAATGAAACTTGGGATTGAGGGTCAATAACTTGGGAACCAACTCGAAAAACATGTGGAGAAATGAAAGTCTAAAGATTGATATAGAGACCTGCACATGACATATAATATGCCATTTGAAAGCTTATGGAGTCAGGAGTTCAATGCATTTTACGAATCGTAATTCTAAACTACGTGGAAATATTATATCAATTGATTCCTATAGAAAATTGTCAAATGTATTCTGTAGAAATTCTGGCAACCCTTCTTCTGTACGCATAGCAAAAATTTAAAATTAGGGACCCCTTATGATCAAAGAATAATTAAAAAAAAATTAACTTTTGTTATGAAGTGGAAATGTAAAGGAATTTAGAAACACCCTTCCCGTATGGATTAAGGGCTGTTATGCAAATATTATTTTCTAAAATTACATTTTTACCTAGGGTAAAAGATGCGATACAATTTTTTTTATTTTCTAAATATAAAGATTTATTATATATTCAATGAAATCCCTAAAAAATTAATCCAAATAAAAAATCATGGGTATATAGACCCGAATTGAGTGAGTTTACTTAGGTGCACCGTTAAAAAGCCTTCCTAAACGGTCTAAACCATTAACATCTAAGTTTAATTTTTTTAATTCAATTTTATACTGAATAATTAGGGATGTCAATGGGGCGGGTCAAGACTCAAGAGAATGGGCAATCCTTATTATCCCCGCCATGTTGGAGATTTTCGAGAAGTGGAACGAAATGGAGCGATAGTGGGGGGGCAGGATGGGACGAGGATT